CGAGGCTCGGATGCTGATTGTCGACAAGGGATTCTCTCCGAACGTGATCACCTACAGCACTTTGATCAGCGGGCTGTGCCGGGAGCTCAGGGTTGACGAGGCCATGAAGTGTTTCCACGAGATGATCCAGCTCGGGCTGAGGCCTCACACGATCATTTACAACTCTTTGATCGACGGCCTCGGCAAGGCCAAGCGTTTGGAGAGTGCCAGGCAGCTGCTCGAGAAGATGGTATTGAACGGCTGCAAGCCGGATATCGTCTCCTACAACGCTCTCATCCATGGCCTGGCAAGAGAACAGGGCGTCTCGGAAGCACTCAAGCTCTTCGGCAGTGTGCTGAAGCAAGGCTACGAGCCTGAGGTGCCGACGTACAACATCCTCATCGATGGCCTGCTCAAAGAAGATAGAGTGAACGAAGCCTTCGAGCTCTTCTCCGGCTTGGTAAAGCACGGCCTGGAGCCGGATGCGATCACTTACACGGTGTTTATCGACGGGCTGTGCAAGGCAGGCAGAGTCGAGGACGCTCTCCTCATGCTCAAAGACATGGACGAGAAAGGCTGCGTTCCTGACGTTGTCTCCCACAACGCTGTTATCAACGGCCTGTGCAAGGAGAAGAGAGTGGACGAGGCCGAGGTTCTACTCTCTGGCATGGAAGCGAAGGGATGCTCGCCGAACGCTATCTCTTTCAACACACTCATCTGCGGCCAGTGCAGGGCGGGGAAGTGGAAGAAGGCCATGACCACTTTCAAGGAGATGCTCAAGAGAGGTGTCAAGCCAACAGTCGTGACTTACAACATCCTCGTCGACGGCCTTTGCAAAGCCAGGCAAGTTGACGAGGCCCGAGAGCTGCTGAGCACGAGTGGATTCCTGGCGGACGTCGTCTCGTGCACCTCGCTCATCAACGGCTTCTGCAAGGAAGGCAGGATCAAAGAGGCCATTACTCTCTTCGACGCAATGATCGAGAAGGGCCGAGTTCCGGACGTGGTGACTTACAGCGCTCTCATAGACGGGCTGGGAAAGGCTGGCAAGCTCGATGATGCTCGCAGGCTCCTCGGCGCTATGGAGGCCAAAGGCTGCATTCCAAACGTCTACACGTACAACTCCCTCATCTCGGGGCTCTGCGGCCTGGAGAAAGTGGACGAAGCTCTGGAGCTGTTCGTGGCTATGGTGGAGAAAGGCTGTGTTCCGGACACCATCACGTATGGGACCATCATCTCGGCACTTTGCAAGCAGGAAATGGTGGACAAAGCTCTCGCTCTTTTCGATGGCTCGCTGGAAGCGGGGGTGGTGCCGACTTCCGGGATGTACTTCTCGCTTATCGATGGCCTCTGCGCGGTGGCGAGAGTGGACGAAGCTCTCAAGCTTCTACAGGCCATTCCCGAGCATCACAGGCCAGGCTCCGAGGCCTACAACAGCATCCTCAGCGCGCTAACCAGCGACGGCAAGCTCGCGGAGGCTCAAAGCCTGCTCGAGACGATGCACGAGCGGGACTTGGTTCCGAATGGATTCTTCTACAACGCGCTCATGGTGGCGCTGTGCAAGCAGCCGGGTGGGAGCAGCAGCGTCGTGAAGATCCACAGGAAGATGGTGAAGAAGCGCTCGGTGCCGGAGCAGGGGCTGGTTCGGTGCTTGTGCATGGAGGGCCTCGCGGACGAGGCCGACGAGATCTTCCAAGGAATGCTCGCGGAGAAGTGCGTTCCAGACGCCTTGACGGTGAACACGCTGGTGAAGAGCTTGTGCGAGCACGGCAAGGTGGAGAGGGGCCTCGAGGTTTTGTCGCAGCAAAGCGGCAGCAGGGAGAAGCGCGAGATGGTGGCTGGGTTTGAGGCTGTTCTTGCGGAGCTTTGCAAGGAGAGCGGCAAGCTGGATCGAGCGATGGAGGTGCTGGAGGAGATCAAGGGAGTGTCGAGCTTGGCGAGTTACAAGATCGTTTTGGAGTGCTGCGCCAGGGATGGGAGAGTGGAGGAGATGGAGAGGCTGATCCGGGAGATTAGAGAGAGTGAGCTTGCTCAAGATGGAGAACTGGAAGAGTATCGAATCACACTCGACAGTTAAATGTAAGCGGACGTTGTAATATAGAGCAAACTGTTTTCGCGAAAACCATCGCTAATTAAATACATGAGATGATCAGATTAATTAATGAATTCATCAATGACGTGGACGTGCCGGAGTGGTTATCGGGCATGACTAGAAATCATGTGGGCTTTGCCCGCGCAGGTTCGAATCCTGCCGTCCACGAATTGATTTTCTCTCATGAATTTGTTTTTAAAAGCGTGCTTTTGTATCGCTATTTCAAATCAAATAATGTGAACGTGCCGGAGTGGTTATCGGGCATGACTCGAAATCATGTGGGCTCTGCCCGCGCAGGTTCGAATCCTGCCGTTCACGCTCGAATCCCTTTGAGTTTCTCAAGAATGTCCCACTGTTATTCGTAGATTTTATGATGTTTTTATCCATGGAAGTAGGTGGAATGGATCACTTTTGTTGAAGGAAAGGGATTTGAGTTAAAAATTTGTTAAAAGTTGGAAGCTATCTCAACAGAATCTTCTTCACACTCTCGTAGACAATAAAAGTGATGGAGGATGAGGGAGCAACTCTAAGTAAGTTTGGTACCATTCCTTTGTATAAACCCCGGACTCCCTCGTATCTGTGAAAAACTCGATAGCTCGATTGAAAAGGAATAACTGGGAGTTTGCTTACTTGAGTGTCTCTGTGAACGCGTGCCAGCCGCCTCTGTAGCTCAGTGATCCTTGCGAGTCAGGTCTTTGCTACAACATCCAAATAAGCACAAGACTTTTCATTAGAACAAATGACAAATGAAAATCCATGGAAGTACCTGTGAGCGTGTTCTAATAACCTGCAAAGTCACCTTTGTCACACATCAAATCCATGAGTGAGATGAGGCTTACTTGGTAGGGATAAGTTAGAAATAGCGCAAAAAGCTTGGACGTAGCACCAAGCACAGCGAAATCTAGAGAGGTCTGCGAGAATCGCAAATTTTCAAAGTTATAAACAAAATCTTCCAAAAAAGTAAGAGCAAGGAAAACTTACTAGAGAGTTTTCAGTTGCCGAAGGATCCACTCTCTTGTGAGCTGCAATCGCCATTTTTCTGCCCTCTTCATACGCCATAAACTGAAGTGCTCCGTGTGACACCTACGCCTGGCTCCATCAAATCATCAATTTGCCAAAGAAATGGACAAACTTACAAGAAGTACGCTCGGACCAAAGCCTTTGTAAAAACCCCTCCAGCCTTCAACTTTACGAATGCTGTGAAAAGCATCTGTGCAGCCAATGTAGCTAAGGAAAGGAAAAATGAAAAGAAATATCTCTCACCCATAAAACCCGAGTAAGGCTGCTGAGATCCATTCGGAGGCTGAAGCTGAAGCCGTGTTTTTACTAGAAATATGGGATTTGTCATCGCAGAGACCTGATAAAGTTTAAAAAAAACTTAAGACAAGAACAACTAAAGGAAAAAAAGCAAAAAAAAAGTCTACCAGTGCACCAGCTTCAGCAGACGCAACGAGGTGATGGCCTGGACCGAGCTCTCCTCCCAATCTTCTTTGATGCATCTCCTTGATATTACTGTAACTGCGCAGAAAAAAAAAATGAAAACCATGGCATCACGAACTAAAATAACAGTCAAACTTACAAGAGAAAATAGAGTCCCCACGCCAAGCTAGAACCAAACACCGCAGGAGAAAGGCCGGCATACAATCCTTTCACACCCTGCCAAAAGGAAGGCGAAAAAGTCACACCTTGCGTAAAAAACTTCCGATTTCTAGACCTCTGTTCGCGCGATGGTGAGCAAGGCATTGGCAGTGCTCTTGTAATGATGAACAAAACGATTTCGACCATCGTCGGCTGGAGTTCAATGTGAAGAAACGCCGCTTGCAAAGGAGAGAAAAGAAACCAAAGAGAAGGCATACCCTGGAATCGTGTGCGAACAATGTCGAGAGGATGCAAAGCTACGACGGTGGCAACCCCGGCAACAGCTCCCGCAGCGGCCTCCTCCCACTTCCATTCTCTGCCCATACACAAAGAAGCCCTAAAATCCCCTTTAGATTCCAAATAACTCGCCTAGTTATTTGGCAAAAGGTTATAACCATTAACATTAACCGCGAAAGGGTAGCCCTAAACATCTAGATCCCAAGAATATACCAGATCAAATATTCTCTGGGCTTTGAGCGAGGACAATGCATGTCGTTTCTAATCCCAGATCCAAACACGGGCTCCATTTTGCTGCGAGTTGAGCGTGGCGATGGAGCACATTGAGCTGCCAGTGAACGAGCGCACGGTTTTCAGGCGAGGGGAGAAATCAGGCCTCCCACCGCGAAATCCAGGCGCATTGTTGCGAAGCGAGGCCCGATGTCCTGGAGGGGATCGGGATCGGCGGAGTGGCAAGGCATCGCACTAGATGGATGTAGCCATAATATGATTTGGATCGGACTATTATGAAGTAGAAGCTAGTGAATCGAGGGATTCGATCTTTTGATCGATGAACCTAGTGATCGATGATCTTGACAGAGACAACGTGGAAAGAAAATGGTGCCATCTCTAGAAGAACAAGTTAAAGGAGTTTTGATCGTCTGAGAAAGAAGCTGAGCTTGACAATTCAGTTGTCGTAATGTGAAAAAATGGTGTCAATGTAGAGGAAGATCAGGGCGCGGCTGGAGATGGAGGAAAGGTAGCGCGAGTTTGTGGGGCGTTTTTTTTGGGCTTTTTAGCCTTCATGGCGCAGCCCTGTCGTGGAGCAGTATGTAAAGTTTGGAAGCACTAGGTACTAGTGAATTCTGAAAATGTGTGAACTACATCTCTTGAAAACACTTTGAGCAGTTTCTCATATGTAGTTAGATACAAATATGAGATCCATATACTTTCGAAACTGTACTAGGATCCCAAGAAAGCCAGCCTGATCCCAAGAAGCAGCAGCTTTGGCGCAATTGGCGCTAACACCACTGATCCTTCTCTAACCTCAACACACACGTCTTTGATCTCTCTTTTAGGGTTCATTCTTTGCTTGGTCATGTTTAAGCGCCAGAACTACGCTGTGCTCCATGGGCGGTCTTCGTCGTCTTCTTCTTCCTCCTCGTCGGACGACTCCGGAGAGGACGATGGAGAAAAGCCCGGTGGGTTTTTTCTTTCTTTCTTTCTTTGGTGTTGGGTTTATGGTTTAAGCTGCTTGTGCAGTCTCCAATCGCGAGGAGTCCCATGAAGAGGAGGAGGAGGAGGAAGAGGAGGAGAAAGGAAAGGAGGTAAAACGTAAAAGGAAGGATTGGGCGATGGCTGTGGAGGAGAGCGAGAAGGAGAAGCTGGAGCAGTCTCTCGCGATTCAGGTTAAAGATGTTTTGAAATGCAGGGTGTGCCCCAAGGTTGTGTGCCTCTCGGAGGAAACCATGGCCTCCCACTTGCGCTCGAAGGTAACAGCTCCTGTCGGATGATATAAACTCCTTTTTTCCTTCTTTTCGAAGGGCCATCGTCGTTCTTTGAAGAAAATGACGGAAGGAAAGCTCAAAGTTACGCTCAACAGTGAGGGTGAGGAGGAAGAGATGGAATCTGAGGGCGAGACACACGCGGAGAGGCACGCACGAACAGTTGCCGCGCTCGCTGGGGTTCGTGAAAGCTTTCTCTTGATCCAGACAAACTTTCGTTCTCAGTGAAGACGTTTTTGTCCTAGGAATCCAAGAGGACAAGCACGGATCCGAGCAGCAAGAAGAGGAAGAAGGGCGGACGACAGCGCCAGAGATTGCGAGCCAAGAAAAAGGTGAGAACTTCTCTCCTTTTCTTCTTGTTCTTGTTCTTCTTTTCCAGCATAAACTCAATGGAAACTTTCCAGGCTAGGCACAAGAAGTTTGATAAATCAGCTGCTGCTAAGGTTAAGAAATAAAACAAAATGCATAAATAGTAACACTTTTCCTTTTTTCCCTCGTATAAATAAAATCACAATACGAGTTGTTGAGAAGTGCTGGATCAGTTGCAAGTTCTCATAAAAAAAACAAAAGAATTTTCAGCTATGATATGACCTTGGAGATGAATTTGCATACTTTTCTTGCTAACAATGAGAACTTGCAATTGCTTCAGTGCCTCCCACAACTCCTACATTAAGTATTTCATTGTTTGCAAGCTAGTCAGCATGGCACCCAAAATCACGATGTCTCATTCACCATGCAAGTGGGGAATCTAGGATCGCCACACTCGCTTGCTAACTGAAGCCAAAATTCATTGTGATCAGCAATCTACTGGAAGATTCCTGGAGTCATGTTTGGAAACAAGACATACACCACATCCTCCCACACGTGGGGAAGATGTTGGCCTTAGATTCCATAGGAAAGTGGGAGACGTTGTGCACATATGAAGTTTGTTTTGATCCACAGAAGTGGCGCTAAGATATTCCCCGTGTGTGGGAGGAAGTAGTGCATGCAAACATGACCTCAGAAATCTTCCTGTACATGGATTGCTGATGCGGACAATAAATTGTGGCATCAACCAGAATGACAGCATCTAGTGATCCAATTCCATTTAGTTATTAATTGTGTGAATTTGGATTCACCACCTTTTCTTGCATTAGATAGTGCTTAACAGCAAGTTCTGATTCGCCACCTGTTTCTCGTGATACCACACTGCTAGGCTTTGGATAGCGAGTCGTTGCTGTTTTGGTGTTATAAAGAGTTAAGAAAGAGAGACGCTTGAAGGTGTGGCGCATGAGCTTGGCTCACAGTGTCTTCGTGCCTCTATATAAAGACAAAAGTTCACGCAAAAGGAGATTCACGCTCAGTACTAGGGAATTTTGCTCCTCGAGAGTCCTTCTTCCTCTCTTTCTTTCTCAGGATAGCGATCGCGATGGCGATTAAGGCAGCCATCCTGGTGGCGATCATGTCCCTGGCAATGGCATTGACGATCGCGGTGGAGGCGAGGGGCACGATCACGAGCAAGCTGTGGAGGGCCATGGATGTAGATTTCTCGGGCTATTGCAGCGATGAATCCATCCCAACTGGGAGCACTTACTGGACGAGCTTGAACCAGACGTTGACGGATCTCATCCAGAACACAGCATACGCCAATAACATGACCTATAGTGTCAAGAATGGTGGCGACGATGTCTCAGCCTATGGACAAGCCCAGTGCTTCAACATGGTGGGCAACCCTGGGATGTGCAAAAGCTGTGTCGAGGATTTGGTTCGTCGGGCTTGGCGCGAGTGCGGTGATGCCATTGCAGGAATGCTCATGCTCAAGGACAAGTGCACCATTCGTTACCAAGACTCTCCACTATAAACAGGTAATACAATCAAATAAAGATGGATTCTAGTTTGTCAATGGTAGTAAAATACATTTTATGTTTTTGGCTTTTTATATATAAAGAAGAAGGAATAAAGATATCAAAATGTCTATTTTTCTTGCTTTTAATTACTTCTGTTTGCTTTTTTAATAACATATTATCTTCAAAATTCCTACAGAAGGAATGAGAGGATTGGTAGTAAGATTAGGAAGGATTGCATCTTATGTATTCCATACTAGAATGATTGGAAACTCTAGGATTTGAACTTATAACTGCCAATTTTCTTACGTAATAATAACATCCTTAGATCGTCTAGTTCCTTGGTATTTTTGAATACAAATGTGTAGTCCATTCCCTTCCTCCGAGATTTATCATGGAAATATATATTTTATAGAGTATTTAAAGATTTTATAAGAAATAATAATGAGAATTATTGGTATATTTAGTATTATGAAAATTCAGATTCTTAATATAAATGAAGCTTTTCGAGGGGCTTTCTGACCTTAAAATTCATATATCCATAATAACTATGATTTTTGTGTTATGACAAAATGATGGTAAATTACAAACCCATCGTCCTTGTGTTCAATTTAAGTTTCTAATCTTTCTTGCTGAAAGTTTAGTAGAAATTCTATTTGATTGAAAAGAAAATAAGGTATTTTTTATGGAGAAGGAAAGTGAAGTATTTTTCATATAGATTTTCACATCATTTAATGGTCATGCTACATATCCTCCATTTCTAACATCAATGAGGGAAAAGACTTCTGAAGTAGGCTTGGGAAGTAAGCATTCACTCTTGAGTACATTCATTAACAATACTTTAGAGAATTTCGGGCCTAGTTTTTTATGATGAACTTGCTAATAGCCACTAGTGTTTTTCTTTTTTTGCAAAAGAATGCAAGACTGTTGAGGTACCTTGGCCTTCTTCCCTCTTGCTTTAGTTACCATTGATCCAGTCTAAAAGCGAATGAGTGAATTAAATATTGATTGGTTTGAAGAATATAAACTTACTCCTTTTGGTTAGCGACCAAGCTGTTTTTCTCAACTAATGCAGGTCAAGTGGTCGCAGCCAGTCAAGCTTTCTTGACTAGCTCAACCTTGCTAATAGATGTAAGAAATCCAGAACAATAAGAGCATATATCATGCCTTTTGATGCACGAGGCAGCCCCAGCTTTGACACCATAGTCTTTACACCAGACACCTATAGCAATGAGAGATGAAAATGCCTAGAAACTTAAATTCGCTAGCACCTCAGTTTGTGGTAACATGTTATCCATCATGTCTTGAGCTTTCAATATTGGAGTAGTATCATTTTCTTCCTCTTACAAGAAGACACAAGCAAACAGTTCTTGGCTAATCAAAGCTACGAAACCACCTCATTGGTTTCCAATTTGGTTTCAGAAAGTTCCACCTACAAGAAGGAAAAGTTTTAAGTTCTGATCAAGTGGAACTTCTTATTACCTTTTTGAGTAATTACTTTCATGTTGATGTTTAAAGGGCTGCATACTTCATCTTCGTCATTCTCCTCCACGTTATGTAGTGATGGTGTGTACTCATCCAAGACATCAGAAAATACAGTAGAATGAGAGTAGAAACCAAAGTATTCTCCCTCAGTGACAGGCAACTTAAAGGCCAAGTTGTTGACGGGTTGCAATAAAACACTGGAAGCTCCTTGAAGACTTATGTGATGAGCACTAGGAGTGTTGGAAATGGCTTTGTCCTTGTGCACTTCAATGCTTTCTCGTAGGCAAAAGCACCATTGTTCATCTTCACACTATCATCCTGTTTGACGATCTCATCTTTGGTGAGTTCCTTGTCAACTACCACTAATACAACCTTTAGTGTTTCAGCTATACAGCCAGCAACCACTTCTGGTATGGAAAATCTTGAAAGATGCTTCGAAGGCATGGTCTGTAATGCAGTGGATTGGATGTTCCAGGTCGTCTACTATAGGCCTCATGAACTTTGAATGTCTGATGGCGCCGAGTCGATTGGATGTTGTCCTGGATCTCATCCGAAAAATAATGTATGGAACACATAGCTGCACAAACTTCTAGGCCTCCTCTATATTGAAAAGCTTGTGTTGGTCAAACTTCCATGGCCATATAGATCTTGATAGCCTTTTAGTAAACTTCTTGCACAAGTTGAGTGCTAATATGTGCATCCCATCATAGACAAGGTCTAACAAAAGCTCAATTCTGTAAAGCCTATAAAGCTGCTATAGTTTTGATATGCCAGACATCCCGAGAGATCAAAGTGCCTTTTGTTATCTTGCCTTTTGATTCATGGCAGACTTTGTTAATACATGCTGTGAGCTAGCCTTTTCTGTGGTGGAAACCTTGCTTGAAACCGATCCTTGACATACACATTCTTCATCCACTTCTTTTTGTGCTCACTGTCTTTCTCGTTGTCAACCAAGATCTTTGACATTAAGCAGTGATTTTGTCAATAGTGTGGCATTCCAGAGAGAAACATCCCTGTCTTGCACTGAGCAGGGTAGTCTCCAATAAATGCTAGAAGCATCACTCACAACCTGAAGTTCCCGCCAAAATCATTTTGATAGTTGAAGTTTGCATCAATGCCACAAACATCTGCTCCAGGTCGTCTATTATAGGCCTCAAAAATAACTGGAAGTCCTTCCAAATAATTTCGAGCACGTCTTTGGCCAGACTTGTTGAGAAAGGAATGAACACCAAAAGATGAGGTTCTAACATTCCACGACCGAATTGTGGGGTCGAATTGTCAGAACTTCTTCTCCAACCAGCACCTGAGCTTCTATAACAGCATATGGATCATGAACTATCTTTGACCCTCTGTACCCGTCCCAGTGAAGCATCACAGCACAGTTTCTCGGATCACCCTGGCCAAAGCAAAAACATTAGTATGCAATTACCTTGAAGGATGAATATATGGAGTTTGGATCCCAGAAACTTTGATTCTCTCTGAACTCTGCTCCATTGTAGCTACTGCTCCTCCAATCCACTCCTCTTTCCTCCTCTTATGACAGTAAGTTCTGCTACTCATGAGCGGCTTGACTTGATCTCTAAGATGAAGATAGTGGAAGACAACATCACATGGGCTTCCACATCGTAGACAATTTCCTTGGAAAAGCTCAGCTTTATGGAATACCCCCATTTTAACAATGCCACCATTCCAAACATCTTGTATCTAGACACGACTTTTGCCACAGAGACGTTGGAGCACCCTCAAAGAATCTCGTTTTGAGCTGCTATGGAGAAGTTTCGCACATCCATAGATCATTGCATTCGTCTAAGCACCCTCTCACTTCAACAAGCTCTGGATCGCCAAATAGCTCTGGATTGTCCACGCCGTCCTCGCTCCCTGCTCATCCTCATCCAAGCTGTCCTCCTCGTCCTCAAGCTCTTGATCACCAAGTAGCTCCGGATTGTCCAAGCTGTCCCTCAGTCCCTGCTCATCCCCATCAAAGCTATCATTCCTCATCAAAGCTCCCTTCTCATCCTCATCCAATCTATCTGTCCATGTCCTCCACTGGATCACAACCATTCTCACTGTCCAAGCCGTCATTTCCAGATGAGAAATCTCACACTTCTTCTTTGGTTCGATCCGACACGCACAGTAGCAAATTTTCATTGGATCGATAAATACGCTTGGAAATCTTAATTTTCATTTCCCAGCCCTTTGAATGGCTAATATAAAATTAATCAGTCCATAATAAGATTTCAAATTTACTATAAATATCCCAAAACGTCCAATTCTGGCAAGGTTAATTCCATGGCGACAATGAAAATCCTGGACAGCTTCGGCCGGCTAAAGCCTCAGGATTTCCACAGGGACGCTCGCGTCGTAGTCTATGCAAGCTCCGAGGAAGGCATGAGGCGCCAGTTTTTAGAAGATGGGTACGCAATAGGGTCCACTCCCAAGGCATCTCTGGTTGGAGTTTTCGATGGTCACGGCGGCAGGGCAGCGGCAAGTTTTTGCGCCAAGAATCTTTTCCCGGTCTTGGTGGAGGACGAGGGCTTTCAGAGCGGCACTGGAATCAAGCAAGCCCTACGCAATGCTTTTCTCAAGATGGACGATCTCATGAGAGAGGAAAACGAACAAAGATATTGGCAAGCTGGAACCACAGCGATTGTCGCTGTGGTGACTGAGAACTTTGTGTATGTTGCCCACGCAGGTATGTTTTGCACATGTTTTTCACAAAGAGCTAACCTCTGTGTGCGCTTAGGTGATGCTTTCTGTAGTTACCGCAAAGGTGGCGAGACCAAGCACTTGACAAAGGATCACTCGCCCCACGTTCCTGAGGAGCGAGAGAGAGGTGTGAAAGCGGACGCTATTTTCAGTTATGGGAGCACAGCTAGCAAACTGTACATGGGAATCGGTGACTCGCAACTCCTCATATCGAGAGCTCTAGGAGACCTTGACCTCAAGAGCAATAAGAAGCTGGCGTTTGACGAGCAGGTCATCATCGCGGTGCCGGATGTTGTGGAGCTTGAAGTTACCGAAGATCTCGAGTACTTGGTTCTTTGCTCCGATGGTTATACCAGGAGAGACATCCAATGGTTGGATATGAAGAGCTTCTCGATGAGCTCCGGCGTCTATCGGGAGGATCGTCAAGACGACGGAACTTACGCTATTGTCTTGTTGGAGAAAAACAAAGCCGCCAAGCTAGATAGTTGATCTAAAACGTTGGTCCGAGTGATCCCCGTTCGTTTCATCCTGAATTTGTTTTAAAATTTTACAATCTCTTACGTCTCGCAAGCCATGGAATCTGGCCAAGAAAAATTGTTTGATCTATCTTCTACCTTGTCTACTCCAAAATGTCAACTGGCCAAAGCCTCTCCCACATAGAAACCTCATCCTTTGATCGTAGCTTCCGGATTCCACCATAGTATCCATCGGTTTCGTTGCCTTCCTCTCGGTGACTCACGCGATCGATCGGTGTTCGTTTCCACCTCGAGCCACTTGTGAACTGATTGAACACCAGCCATACGGTATCTACAAAAAAGCATTGGACTCTTTAATAAGAATGGCAAAAGAAAAAGACTCAAAAGAGAATCAGAATACTTACTGTCACTCTGGCAAGAACAATGCTGACGACTGCTATTATTCCCGGCGTTGGAACATGATTCAGAGTGACCAACGATTCCATACCACCAGCCTGCGACATAGAAAACAAAAACTTGTCTTAAGTTTATATCCGCTCGAGCAAAACAAACAGGAACACATACCGTATGGAAATTCCTTCGTTCGTCTCCACTGGACTTCGATGTGATCACCGGGCCTAAGCTCGGCCAAGCAATCCGAGGTGTGTAGATCGTGAGCCGGAGTTTGCACGGGCGAGGCTCGAACTCTTTCCCAGGATATATCATCCTCCATAACCAGAGCTCGAGGTCCGTGTGGAGGATACCTGACAAAAAAGAATTCGATTCAAGAAAAATCACATTTTGGCCGTGAACTTCGCGCAAACAACGCTTACCTCGCCCGAAACGAGTCGCTCGAGCGAACGTAGCTGAGCTCCGCATCGTAGCAAGACAAGAGAAATCCGACATGTCCATTCTGTGGAGGGAAGCAAGCCGTGAGCAAAAGAGAATTTTTTGAAAGAACACGAAGAACACGAACCTCTCGGTTAAAGACTTGGCCACGAAACCACAAATTCCCGGTCTCCAGCGCCCAGTACCACGCCATGAGCGAATCCGAGGGCGTGGGCGCTTTGCTCCGCGACGCCATCAATCTTTCCCTGGCCACCGATAGCGGCCACAAGCAAGCGGCCGCGATCGAGGGCCACAAGAGCTTCCACCCGCAATTCGGCCGCTCGCACGCGTTCTTGGCAGCGATCTCTTGCGCAGTCCTCCCCTTTCTGGGCGACGATTCCAGCACGGGATTGCGGCACCACTCCCTGTATGCCCCTGGACCCGCGATCTTGCCCCATTTCTCGTACACTAGCGCCTCCCAGAAATGGCCGCTCTTGCAGCGCTGCCGGAGCTCCTGGCACACGCCGCCCAATCGGAGGAGGCTGTCCGCCGGGAGCCTGGAGAGAATGTCGTCCAATGCGAGATCCGGAAGATCGAGAATCGAAGTGGAAGAGGAAGAAGGGCAAGAATCCCCATGGAAATCGCCCTCAGGGAGGCCGGATTGATGAAGAACCCTTGGCCGCTTGATCAAGAACGCCATGGCAGCGGCGGTAGCAGCGGCGACGGCGGCGTGGATCCGGCGCAGCGATCGCGAAGCCCATGCCGGAGAGCTCAACCCTATCGATGCCTGGCGCTCGCCTCTGCCCATTGAAACCACGGCCGTCGTGCGGTTGCCGCGCGGCGCCGCGGCGGCAAACGTCCATACCGCCGCGGCGCACACCGCCGCCGCCGCCCACGCCGCGCGGTAAGCCGCCAAGCCCACAAAGGCCGCGCAGCCCAGCGCCAGCGCACCGCGCGGCAGCGGTGCCTTGCTAGCTTCGCGAAAAATGCCGGGCGGCACCATTTTCTTTTCCTTCTTTTTTTCTGTTGGAGTCTGTGAGGGAGGGAGGATAGGGGATTCGCGTCCTTTTATACTGTCTGGCCATGGCTGAGACTCCCGGACGTACGGTAAGAGGAAAATGGTAGTTTTTGACCGGCATAAATATGAATGGATGGCTGGCAGGCAAGCGTCCATTGCGACCGGCAAGCCCAAAATCATACAATTGTATCACGTGTTTAAATCTAGTGCACATTATTGTGTGTCTGTGGATGGACGACCGGTTTTTAAAATTCCCGCGCCCGCCATATTTTAAAAGAGCCGAAAGCGCCGCTTGGTTGGGACGTATGTTCCTCGCAACTCCTCCACTCCACACCACTGGTTTGAGTTGTGGATGAAAAGCTTTCCTAAAAACTCTATCTGTCTGATAACAGCACGCCTCTGCAATTAGATGCTGGCCATCCTCGAACAACACGGTCACCAACTTCAAACGAAACTCTAGATACCATCATCCCTGCTTCAAGGAGAAGACCTCTCTTACATTCCGCTTCAAAGTAAGACATCTCCTGCATAAATTATAGGTCGGATGCCCTGCATGGGCCCTCGTGAGCTTTTTGTTTGGTTTGACAATGTTGAACGCACCTCTATTTTCTTAGATCTAAGATCTCTCTCTCTGATTGCTGGAGGTGTTAGGCTGGAGGTGTCAGGGAGATTTTGCTTGCTTGTGTGATCTTGCTTGTTGGTGATGTCTGATTCAGGCACTAATGTTCCTGCAGTCCAAAGGCTGAATAGTGTCGGCCATGATAGTCCCGGAAAAATCTCCCAGCGAACCTTCATGTTTGACACGCCTCCAGAGTGGATCTACGTTTAATACAGTTCCGAGTGGGTCAATCAAAATGATTGCCTACATCACCTTGCATTTTAAATATTCCAGAGTGGACCAGTTAGGTAACTGACATCACCATGCATTTTAAAACTTCCAGAGTGGATCAATCAGACAACTTTTCCATGTTCTAGAAGACATGAATAGAATAGTTTGCGTAGATTAGAACCTTATCAATTCTAAAGAGTTACTGTACTGGGAGGAGCTCCAATACCACTTAATCCGCATGGAGCTTCATACAGGAGATGTGTCCTACCCGATCATCCTGCTCGAGCCTTGATGGAGCTTCTTACATGGAAAAGGACGATCAATTAATGTGAAGACCCAGCTGCAGCTTAGCAACCTGCAAACGAAGCTCTAGATGCGAGCTATTGATGACTCCTCAGAGCGAGATGAAGGCCGGTGAGCTCAAGAAATGAACGGCAAAGCTTGGCCTTGATCTTGAGGAGGTCCCAATAGACGATTATAGCTCGCAGGCTTTTGAGCAATGGCTGCTGGCAAGAACAGTGCCGTCATGTATGCTACCTACCTGGCACATCTTCGCCTTTGCCAACTCTGCACCTCCACCCAGGTTGAAGATGTCCTCTAGGGCTATAGATATATGACCACTTCTGACAACAGCTACCATTCCTTGGCAATGACAGGATCTTCCGGCCCTCCTATCCAACATTGATGCTGCGAAGTAAATCTTAGGGATGGAAGAAATCGCAAACAGCTTCTCGAAGTCAAGGCTGGGCGAGTTCAAAGAGCGTAGGTAGTGAAAGTAGGTAAGTAGAATATCAAAGACCTACCAGACCATGTTGAATAAAACACATGTTCAGAATTCGAGTAAATGCGATTGGACCTGGAACTGTGTGATTCTCGCCTTTCCTCCAAACCATCCATTGTAATTTATCAACACTAAACAAAAGTTGCTACATCCACCCTTTCCATAGGGAGCTTGACGAAGCCATCACTGGAGAGAAAGGGCGAGGTCTCCAGCGCCCTCCACTCGCAACGAGGTTCCAGTCGCAAACATACTTTTTAAAATACTGTTAAACCCCTAGGGTTAGGGTTCATGTTTTTTTGTCAACAGCGTGCGGATCTTCATCACAAACGAGCGGATACTTTCGGGTGCGGGCCAGAATCCTGTCGCGACTATCGACAAAGTGATATAAAATGCGGTCGTCTTCGATCGAAATCCAGCGAAGAAGAAATCGATATGGCGGCGCCATTCCCTCTCTTGGCGGCGGTTCTCTTCGTCTTTGGAGCAGCAGCAGCGGCAGCTTGTGAGACGCCATCGCCAGCTCCATCGCCAGCTCCAGCTCCATCTCCCGACGCCGATCTTCCGGATTATCCACCCGGGAGGGGAAAGATCGCAGCCTACTGGGGCCAGCACGACGGAGAGGATGATCTCGATCAGGTTTGCAGCTCCGGGAACTACAGGATCGTGATGCTCGCGTTCCTGGCCAGCTTTGGCAACTTCCTGGATCCGGTTCTCAACTTGGCCAACCATTGCGATCCCTCCAATGGCGGCTGCAAGGCTTACAGCAGCAAGATCAAAGCTTGTCAGGCCAAAGGCGTGCAGATCATCCTCTCCATTGGTGGCGGTGCTTCCGGCGGGTACTTGGTCAGCGATGCCGATGCTAGAGATTTTGCGGAGAAGCTCTGGAACAGCTACCTCGGCGGGCACTCCTCGGATCGTCCCCTTGGATCGGCAGTGCTGAACGGGATTGATCTGGATATCGAGGGTGGTGGAATCCCGGATCGATATGGAGTGATGGTGAAGAGCTTGCGCAGCCTCGCTCATGGATCTGGCAAGAAGAAGCTCGTCGTCACCGCAGCTCCCCAGTGCCCGTTCCCGGATTTGAATCTCGGGACTGCCATCCAGATTCCGGGGCTCTTTGACTACTTGTTTGTCCAGTTTTACAACAATCCTTGCGGTTATGGTGGCGGTGGAGCTGAGAACTTGCTTGATTCGTGGAAGCAGTGGACTACCGCGATTCCAACCGCGAAGATCTTCCTGGGGCTTCCGGCTTCTCCTTCCGCGGCAGGCAGTGGGTTTCTCCCTCCGAATGTTTGCAAGTCGAGCGTTCTTCCGGAGATCAAGCGCTCCAAGAATTATGGTGGTGTCATGTTTTGGTCGGTTTACTATGATCAGCAGGAGCAGTATAGCGAGGCCATTCGTTCCAGTGTGTGATCACGCACTGTTCCTCACCACGTACATAAATAGATTGATTCCTCCATTGTTTTGAATTCGAGTCACTGTTTAGCTATTTCATTCGTGGCATTCCCTTCTTGTGTAGCTATTCAAGTTCACTGTTGCTTGGAACACGCTTTGTATCTGATCAAGCAAGAACATGACAAGAGAAAGTGGTCACCAAGGAATGGATTAAAATGTAAGAGCCAAGAAACTCTGAGACATCCAAGTAGTACAAGCTACTCTGTCATTTGTGATGAAGTTAGAGCTGGATTGAGCACCTTAAAAAGCACCCTGATTCATCCTCCTTGCAACACATCAGTTTCCATAATCCTCCAAAGCATCTTAGCTAGCTTGATCGACCGATAACTTCCATGGCTTTCCTCGCAGGAAAAGCAACATTCCTTGTGATGATCTTAGCAGCAGCAGCGACAATAGCAGCCGCTTCTTCTCCTCGCAGATTGCGTAGCAAATCAAGAGATGGAGGGATCGTCTCCTACTGGGGCCAGTTCGGGCAAGAGGGCCCCTTGGACAAAGTTTGCGCGAGTGGGAACTACGAGATCATCAACATCGCGTTCCTTAATGAGTTTGGAAACTTCCGGCAGCCCGTGCTGAATCTGGCAGGCCACTGCGACGCCACCACCTCGGATGGCTGCGCGGCCGTGGGCGGTCAAATCAAGTCGTGCCAGTCAATGGGGGTCAAAGTCTTGCTCTCGATCGGCGGCGCCAGCGGTTCCGCCCTATTGGTGAGCGAGGCCGACGCTGCCAATCTCGCCCACCAATTGTTTGACAGTTTTCTCGGCGGTGAATCCTCGTATAAGCCTTTGGGCGACGCTGTTCTTGATGGAATCGATCTGGACATTGAGTCGGGCAAGACCCCGAAGCTATACGCATCGATGGTCCGCCATCTTCGCACCATTGCCGGGAGATCCAAGATTATCGTCGCTGCTGCTCCTCAGTGCCCGTTTCCGGACGAGAATCTCGGCTTGGCTCTCAAGGTTCCGGGGCTGTTTGATTTGATCTTCGTCCAGTTTTACAACAATCCCCCCTGCGCGTTCGATGGCAGCGATAGCAAGAAGCTCCTGGATTCTTGGAAGCAGTGGACGTCGTCGATCCCCACCGCAAAGTTCTACCTGGGATTGCCGGCCTCTCGTGCCGCCGCTGGATCGGGCTTCCTTCCAGCAAATGTGGCCAGGTCCAGCGTGCTTCCCGTCATCAAATCGACTCGCAACTACGGTGGAATCATGCTGTGGGCTGTTTTCTTCGATCAGCAAGAGTCGTATAGCGATTCCATCCTGTCCAGCGTCTAGACCACGCTAGATTTGAGATTTCAAATAAGAATCTTTAGATGTATTCTTCTCAATGTCTTTAGCGCGCGAAAATGCCTTAAAAAAATGGTGAAGGATTCTTCGAGTGAAGTGAAGTGCAAGGATGGTCGCTTCTGTCACGTATGAAAATGCTGGATTGCTAGGATGGATTTAAACGAGCTCGTCGCAAACATCGCTATAGTATCACATCCTTCTTCTCGATATATAATCGAGCTATGACAAAGATGTTTGCTGTGATTCTAGCTCTAGCATTGGGGGCAGCAGTGGCAAACTTCGCCCAAGCCCAAGATGGTTCGTGCTCTTCCTCGAAGCCATGCCCACCGGGATACTGTTGTAGCAAATGGAACTACTGCGGCCAAGGCTCGGAATACTGCGGCAATACTCCACCGGCACCACCATACGGAGGAACACCGCCTCATCATCCATCGCCATCGCATCCATCTCCGCCCCATCACCCAAGTCCGCCGAGCCCCCCATCTCCATCCCACCCGGGCGGGAAAGGCAAGATCGCGGCTTACTGGGGACAGAATGGAAATGAAGGTCCTCTGGACAAGGTTTGCGCGAGCGACAGCTACGAGATTATCCTCCTCTCGTTCCTCAACGAGTTTGGCAACTTCCAGCGCCCGATGCTCAATCTCGCCGGCCACTGCGATCCATACTCCCACGGCTGCACTGTTTTAAGCGGTCAAATCAAGTCGTGCCAGTCAAGCGGGGTCAAAGTCTTGCTGTCTCTCGGCGGTGGCGACTCTCCCGGGAGATTGGTGAGCGATGCCGACGCCGCCGATCTCGCCAAGCGATTGTGGGCGAGCTTCCTCGGCGGGGATTCCTCGGACAGGCCCTTGGGCGACGCTGTTCTTGACGGGATCGATCTGGACGTGGAGTCGGGCGCCACCCCAGAGTTATACGCCGGGCTCGTCCGCCACCTTCGCAGCATTGCCGGGAGCTCCAAGGTTTTGGTGTCTGCCGCGCCGCAGTGCCCCTTCCCGGATGCAAATCTCGGCTCCGCGGTGCAAACTCCTGGATTGTTTGATTTCATCTTCGTGCAGTTCTACAACAATCCCCCCTGCGCATATGTTGATGGCGACGATGGAAAGCTCCTGGATTCTTGGAAGCAGTGGACTTCATCGATTCCCAGCGCGAAGATCTATCTGGGATTGCCGGCGTCTCCGAGCGCTGCCGGGTCCGGGTTTCTTCCGGCTCATGTCGCGACGTCGAGCGTCTTGCCGGAGATCAAGTCATCTCACAACTATGGTGGCGTGATGCTTTGGTCGGTGTTTTACGATCAGCAAGAGTCTTACAGCGAGTCCATCCAGTCCAGTGTTTAATCGCCTCTTCTTTCGTATCTAATACATACATTGTTTTCTCTTTGATCGTGGCTCATCGCCCAGAAAGGAAGAGATTCCGATATAAAAAGAATGTGGGGGAGATTATCCCTTGGAATTTTCTTGTCAAAGTGATCCATAGAAACAACGTATGGTGGAAATTATGCGTTGTGGAGGACTGGAAACCTCGTTTTTAACCTAGGTAAAGGAAGAAAGATAGGGCAGAAAGAGTGGCATCATGGGCGAGCTAACGCTAGGCGGGGATCGTTGTCCCTCGCTATTCATCCACCAGTCCAATTAGGGTTTTAACAGAGGAATGGCCGCGGCCATGGCGGCGGTGGCCGCTCCATCCGCGGCGGTCGCCAGGGCGCTGGAGGGCGACGCGGCGGCAGTGGCGCGATTTGCATCGTCAGGTATTTCGTGGGGGAATGGGCTGCTCAAGCACAGAGCGGGGGATTCTCCGCGTTCTTGGCGTGGGAAGAGGTCCGGGAGGAGTGCATTCTCGGTGTGCTTGCTGCATGGGCTCGGGGGATTCTGGGATTCCTCCGATTCGGATTTCTCGGCGAAGAAAACCTACAATCCAGAGGTGGGAATCTCTCTCTAGGCAATCGGAGCTACTTTCTTATCTCTTCGGTTTGGTTTTTCTTCTTTGCAGAAGGACAAAGCGTTTCTTCTTAGCATGGTGGAGCAAATCGAGCCTCTAGACGTGAGTAGCATTAGCAAAGACGCGTCGGCTGATAGCATGGATGCGATGAAGAGGACCATCTCTGGAATGCTTGGGCTACTACCGTCGGACCAGTTCAAAGTCACGATTGAAGCTTACAGAGAACCACTCGCAAAGCTCCTTGTGTCTTCGATGATGACTGGGTAAGGCTTGGCTGTTTTTCTTCTTTGAAGATTCTCTCAGAGTCGTGTGTGATTCTCTAACGCCTTTTCTTTGTCTATTTTTTTCGCTCCATAGGTACACCCTCAGGAATGCCGAGTACAGGCTCTGCTTGCAAAGAAGTCTACAACTCTCCGAGGAAGACCTTGCGAGCACGTCAGTTGCAAGTGACGTGAAAGAAAAAAAGTCACAAGACTTGGAAGACAGCCGTGCCTGTGATGCTTCGGACGAGACCGTTGGAGAGGGGAGTTGCAGTGACTCTTCGGTCTCGGAAGAAGTGGAGGCTTTGAACCTGCCTGGGAATCTGGGGTCCCTATCACGAGAAGCGCAGGATTACGTTAGCCATATACAGGCAAAAATGCTAGCGATGGAGAAGGTAATACTTCGTTTGGTTCTTCTTTTATGTGACTCTAATCTTGCAAATTCAGGAGCTCGAGGATTGCAAACGAGCTAAAACTGCACTGGAGATGGAGAAGCTTGTCGGGGATGAAAAGAACGACCTCCTTGACTACTTGAGATCTCTGGAACCAGACAAGGTCTGTGTTCTAAAAAGACCACATTGTCCCTTACGTTGATTGACTGTTGTTTTCTTTCATCTTTCAGGTTGCCGAGCTCTCGCACCCGGCCTCTAAAGATGTGGAAGAGGTGATCCAGAAAGTAATCGACGGGCTGCTCAATGGCCTGTGCAAGTCGAGACAATCAAAGCCACCGCCGCAGCTCAACGGTGGCGGATCCCCGCCGTCGAGTTCCATTTCAAGCCCGTGGAACAAGAGCAGCAGCTCGGCCGAGATGTTTGCGAACAACTTACCCCTGAAGTTCCAGTCGACGGCAACAGCAACCCGCGACTACCTCGCCCGACTCCTCTTCTGGTGCGTATGTCGTGCTTGTTAACGTGTGATTTTGCAAGGAGTTTTGTCGAGGCCACCGTGCAGCGTTTGATACGAAACTGTGAATACCCAAGGTAAGGAAGGCATTCCTTTCAAAGCGAAATGGTGCTGTGTGGTGGCTACTCGGCTCCTGACACTTTCTAACATTGTCTAGTCTAGAGTTTTTTTTCTTACAGTTCTTTGCTTCCATGGAATCTAACGAGCGTGATCGTGTGCTTGCAGGTGTATGCTCATGGGGCATCACATTCGCGGGCTGGAGTACCGGATGGAACTGAGCCACGCGCTCGGTTTGACAGGAGCTAGTGTGGAGGATTGAAAAAAGGAGATCAATCAGTCTGTGGCAAACCAGCGAAAACAAATCAAAGCGAAGATCAAAGTGAAAGCAAGAGCTCGAGGAAGAACAAGGCTGTAAATTTAAGCGAAGGTGCTTGTTGTAGATTACAAACAAAAATAATTTTTGCGTTCCTTCACGTTTGTAAGTCTTTCGAGCACGGAGATAAAGAACGTACTATCTTGAGCGGTCATTGTTTTCGTTCTTGCTTTTAAGCCTTTTGGTTGGCTAGTTGTTGGACCGGCAGCCTTATCCACGAATTTGTACATACGAGTACGAGTGACGTTTTCCTCGCGTATATATATATATAGAAAATACAGTCGCTTTTGATCCACTTACGCTTCACTGCACGGCCAACGGATCAAAGCTTGGAAACTTGGAAACTCCATAGCCAAAACCTTACCTTTCTAGAAGGGGTTTCTGGCTTTCACGCTCCCGCTCGCGTTCACTCACGGCCTTCCCCCAAGTTACGAGGAGTAATCCCGCAACAATGAGTAATCCTCCAAGAACACTGAAGAAAGTTTCCGCTGTTAGCTATCGATATACAAGTAGGAAGTGAGTTTCTTACCTTCCCAGGAACAATGGACTTCGTAGGAAAACGCAAGCCAGCGTAGAGGAGGCAAGTGGCTGCAAAGGCATGTAAAGCGCGACGAGCGACGGGCCAACAACACCGTTGGACCAAGTTAAAAGCACGTAGTTGATTGCCGACGCAAAAATTCCCTGGAGTGAAAAACCGAGAAACAGTGAAGAACTTATGGAAAGAAAGCTCGAGCCAAGTTACCGCGTACAAAACTGCGTAGCCTTCCACTTGGTTGAAAAGCCATTGTGTCGTATCGCCCACTGCCAGCACTCCAGTAAATGCCATGAGAAGCGTTCCAAAGAGATACGAGTAGGCAGTGACTGTCAATCCGAAAGGATACTTTGCCAAGACAGGCGCCTGGTAAGAAAATGTTCCGATCCAAGTTAATGGCAGAGGACGTAGAAAAGAACAGCAAAAAGCTTACCTGATAAGCAATGTACAAAGCCATGAGGAAGCAATTACCAAGGAGGCAAAGAATTCCCAGCTGCCAGTTCTCGGCACCGGTTGCGCTTGAAATTCTCTGCAACAACGAAACTCCGACAATAGTTCCACCATGATGCAAATGCTCGGTACGCCCGAAGAGGAGCGGACCTTTGTACAAGGCCATGAGCAGCGCTCCACAAACGCTGAGAAAGACTCCTCCCACTTTCGCTAAAGTATCATATCCAGTCCAATTCAAAGTTTCCGTTCTGGAGAAAACATCGCGTTTGCGTCACTACAACCAGAAAATCCAAAAGAGAAATGGTCTACTCAAAGAGATTGTCTTCGAGTGGAAGAGAAAACCCTGTCGAAGAACTCAAAGCAGAGAGAGCTCTGTCGAAGAACTCAAAGCAGAGAAAACTCTGTGACATTGGCTTCACTTCTCAGAGGAAAAACCTTGATTTGTCAAAAGCACCAAGAGAAGAGAGATTTGCTTACCCGTTGGCCAAGGCGAGCACAAACGTAAACACTGGAATTGCCGGCTGGACTGCGGCGGCATACGAGGGAGAGGTGAGATTAAGTCCAAGCAAGAACAGTAGCTGGTTCCCAAAGATCCTGCTCCAACAACCAAACGCCCCTTGTAAAGCTCTGGATCGAAGATTTCGGGATTCTTACGCTCACCCGGACAGTCCCAGGACGAAGAAATGGAATAAAAGCCGAGAGCTTACGCGAGTCCTGCTCCTCCTGTAGAAGAAAGAGCGCATTTCAATCGATTTTAAGAACACGGCAGAAGAAATCACGAAGACATCGCCACTCACCGCTCGTAGAAGAATGCGAGGGGCGCAAGAATGGCGAGCGCGATGAGGTCGCGAAACACGCAAAACACGACCTGATTGGCGCCAGTGGTGAGCGCAAATTTGGTGAGGACGTGATAGACGCCATAGTCGAGCTGGACGATCGCGAGGCAGAGGTGCGCAATCCACAGCCTCCTCTCCATTCTCTTCCCCCTTCTGTTCCCTCTCTCCAAATTTTTTTGATACGAACCCTAAACAAACACGTGGCTTTAGCGCACCTTTTCCACTTGGAGACGAATATCCGTGTGGTAAACTTGCCTTTAACGCATGTCTTCCACGTGCTGACCTAAGCGAATGATTCTTTTTCTGGGGTAAATGCTCTTCGTTTGATGCGCTTTGGAATTAGCAAGGGTTTGCTGAGGATCACACGCCTTTTCTTCCACTCTTTCGCAGTTAATCCTCAATCGCAGCACGATCTCCACTCATGGAGCCGGAATCTCGTCCTCTGGACCAGCGCCATCGCTTCTTGCAACTGCAATGGCGATCCAGGCAAGGCGCTGGCGATATTTCGGCGAATGCTGCTCCATGGATTGCTGCCGGACAACGTCTCCTTCATCACAGCGCTCAAATCGTGCGTCCGGATCCAAAGTCTCGCCGCAGGGAAGTTCATCCATCTCCTGGTGATCGAATCGGGGCTCCTGACACAGATCTCCGTGGGGAATGCGCTGGTCAACATGTATGGGAAGTGCGGCAGCCTGGCTCTCGCGAGAGAGGTCTTCGATGGGATGGATCACAGGGATGTTATATCCTGGAACGCGGTCATCACGGCATATGCCCAGGCTGGTCATTGCAAAGAGGCCATGGAACTCTTCCAGGCGATGCAAGAAGATGGAAGAATCGAGCCAGACAGCGTCACCTTCGTGGCTGTTGTAAGCGCGTGCTGCGATCCGTCGGCGCTGGAAGCTGCGAACAGGATTTTTGCGCTGGTTGAGGAGAGAGGCCTGCTCGATTCGGACGTAGTTCTGGGCAACGCTCTCGTCAACATGTATAGCAAGTGTGGGAGCTTGAAGTCCGCCACCATGGTGTTCGAGAGAATGAAGATCCGAGACGTGGTTTCGTGGAACGCGATCATCTCAGCGCTTGCAAGGCACGATCGAAAGGATATCGCGATGCAGCGCTTTCGGGAAATGCAGCTAGAGGGGCTCTCTCCGGTTAAAGTCACGATGGTCACGGCGTTGAGCGCTTGCAGCAGCATAGCAGCATGCAAGAGGCTAGGCTCTTGGATCATGGAGCGTGGTTTTGCGGCAGACACCATTGTGGAGAATGCTCTCATCAACGCTTATGGCAAGTGTGGAGGCTTGAGAAACGCTCGAGAGCTCTTCGACAGCTTCAAGATGAGAGACGTGATTTCCTGGAACACTATGATAGCTGCTTACGTGCAGCATGGGCAGCACTCGCAGGCTCTGCGGCTCTACCAGCAAATGGAGATGGACGAAACAGTTCATAGCAACAAGTCTACTCTTGTGATAGCTCTTGGTGCGTGCCTGGCTCCAGACGCTCTCGCGCAAGGTAAACTCATCCATTCTCGCTTGCGTGGCTTTGGATACGACTCTGATGTCTTTGTTGCAAATGCGCTTGTCAACATGTACAGCAAGTGTGGGAGCCTTGACGATGCCAAGTCTGTTTTCAACGAGGCGGCTCAAACAGACGCTGTGAGTTGGAACGTCATGACGGCGGCTTACGTCCAGCACAGTCGCAACGAAGATGCCATTCAACTGTTTAGAAGCATGCTGCTGAAAAGCTCTTTGCCGGACAGGATAACCTTCGCTACTGTCCTCGGAGCGTGTGCCGGTCCTGCAGCTCTTCCACAGGGTAAGACGATTCATTCCTGTGCTTTTGAGAGTGGACTCGAGTCTGACGATATCGTGGGAAATGCTCTTTTGATCATGTACAGTAGGTGCCAAAGCGTTCACGACGCGGTCACGATCTTTGAGAAGATGGATCGACCAGCTATAGTCGTGTGGAATACGATGATTGAGACGTACATTCAACACAAAATGTTCAACGAAGCAAGGATGCTGTTCTTTGAGATGGATGAGCGGGACGTTGCGTCTTGGAACGGTGCAATTGGAGCATGCACTGAAGAACACTGTTACGAGGAGGCATTTCAGCTCTTTCACGAAATGCAGCTGCAAGGCTTCGCTGCAAACAAGAGCACCTATCTTACGCTACTTAGCTCCTGCGACAGCCAAAGTCCGAAGTGGCTCTCACGGACGAAATTGGTGCATCATCGAATCCATTCGAGCGGCTTTGAGTCGGAAGAAGCTGTTGGCAGTGCTCTTGTGAAGGCATACAGCAGGTGCGCCAGCATAGATGAAGCCAGGAGAGTTTTCGATTCTATATTACAGAAGGACGTAGTGCTGTGGACCACGATGATCTCGGTTTATGCTCAAGACGGATACAGCGAAGCGGCTCTCGAGCTCTTCCAGCAAATGGAGAAAGAAGAAGCATTACTTCCGGACGGTTTCACGCTCGCCTCGGCCTTGGCGGCTTGCACAGGTCCGGAAATGCTGGAAGAAGGCAGAGAGATCCATGCTCTGGTTATCGAGCGCGGCTGTGAGTCGGAACTTGTGGTCGGGAATGCTCTCGTGAGCATGTACGCGAACTGCGGAACTCTACAAGACGCTCTGGAGTGCTTCCAGAAGATGGCCCAACGCAACGTCGTGTCCTGGAATGCGATGATCGCAGCCTACGTCCACCACAACTGCGACAAGGAGGCCTTCCGGATCTTCTATCAGATGCAGCTGGAAGGAGTGCAGCCGAACAGCGTGACTTTCGTCACCTTTCTTAGCACCTGCTCGACTCCGGCAGCGTTTGAAGACGGTCTAATACGTGCTCTGGAAGTCGAGAAGCGAGTGGAGTCCCTTGATGCTCTCGTCGGGAACGCGCTTCTTCACACCTATGCCAAGCTTGGAAAGCTGGACGAGGTACAGAGAGTGTTCCAGAGAATGGAGAAGCAGCGGGACGATGTGGTGACTTGGAACGCAGTGATTGAAGGCAGCGTCCGGAATGGCGAGTTTCGAAACGCTCTGGAGCTGTTCGAGCGTATGCAGCTCCAAGGTACGGCTCCAAACAGCGCCACCTTCAGCACCATACTCACCACCTGCGCAACTCCACGGCTCCTGGACCGAGCCAAGCAGCTTCACAGCATCATTCGAGAGTCCGGCCTGGAAGCGGACGTGTCAGTCGGAAACGCCGCCGTTCACATGTTTGCCAAGTGCTGGAGCCTCGACGACGCGCTCGCGGCCTTCCAGAGGATGCCTCAGAAGAACTTGGGAAGCTGGAACGGACTCTTGGGAGCCTACATTCACGTCGGGCGCCTCGCAGATACTCGCAAGCTGTTCGAGGAGATGGAGGAGCGGGACGTGATCACCTGGAACATGATACTTGGAGCCTACGTCGAGCGAGACATGGCCAAGGAAGCAGTGAGGCTCTTCCGCCGGATGATAGCCGAGGGGACGGAACCAAACAGCATCACCTGGACGACGATGCTGGGAGCTTGCGCTGGCGAGGCCTCGCTCGCCGAGGGACGAAGGGTCCACGAGCTCATAGCGGAGAGAGGGGCCGACTCGGAGCTCTTCGTCGGGAACGCGCTGGTGGACATGTTTGGGAAGTGCGCGAGCTTGGGTGGAGCTCGGCAGGCATTTGAGAGGATCCGCGCCAAGGACGCCAGCAGCTGGAACGTCCTGGTGGCGGCACTGGCGCAAAACGGCGACGCCGAGGAGGCTCTCAAGCAGTTCTTGCGGATGCAGCGAGAAGGGATCAAGCCAACCGACGTGACTTTCATCGTCGTCTTCTGGGCTTGCAGCCACGCGGGCAGGCTGGAGCAGGCCAAGACCATCTTCGCGTCACTGCGGCACGACTACGGCATAGCTCCGCTGCCCAGCCACTACAGCGGCATGACGGATCTCCTGGGACGCGCTGGCTTCCTGGACGAGGCGGAGGAGGTGATCAAGAGGATCCCGTTCAGCCGGGACGAGCTCCCCTGGATGACGCTGCTCTCCGCGTGTAAAGTCCACGGCGATGTGGAGCGTGGGAGAAAGGTGGCGGGCCAAGTCTTGCGGTGGAATCCGGGTGATTCGGCAGCGGGGGTGGCGCTTTCCAATATATTCGCAGGAGCCGACGCAGTTCCATGACTTGGCCTTGGTGATCGTCGAGTTTCATATTGGACGTGAAGAGCTGCACGAGATCGATGGCGGCTGGGCTTGCTCTACATCACAAGCTCCAGGTCTTCTACAAGCTGATCACCAGTAGTCTCCACAGGAGCAAGTGCCATTCTCAAAGCGGTGGAACCGGTACGCATCTCTCACCACGATCCTCCTTCCCACACTCCTGGAAATGATCTTGGCCACTGCATGGCAGTCGGAGCACACCCGGAGGTTCTTCACGACGTGAATGGGAAGCCCCGCCGGAACTCGCAGCAGTCCAAACGCGATAGCCACACGTTCGCTGTGGAGAGCCAGCAGATCCTCCTTGCCATCCTCCTCAAGACGGTGCCCGATCTGTCCAGTATCTGGAATGTAGCCGCCCTCCTTCACGACCGCTTGCAACCGCCGCAGCTCCACCTCGATCTCGGCAGCCTCCGAATGCCACGAGAAGTTCCCAGCAAAGAACTGATGGACCCTGTTCTTCACCTCCACGCAGCTCCAGCCCCTCGGCTTCTTCACGCCAAGCTTCGCCATTCTCTCTTGGACTTCCGCCACCTCGTCCCACTTCTCCACGGCGGCGTAAGCGTGAGACATGAGCACGTAGGGAGCGGCGTCATGCGGTATCAGACCCGATGCGAGACGCGCCACCCGAGCTCCCCGGGGAGTATCTCCGCTCACCCGGCACGCAGCTAGCAGCGTCTTCATCTCCATGTGAGCCGGCTCGAAAGGCATGCTGTGGAGCAACTCCTCGGCCTCGGCAACTCGTCCACAGCGGGCCAGGAGATCCACCATGCAGCTGTAGTGAGCAGCGCCACCTCTCACTCCAAAGTCGGCCACCATTTCCTGGAAGCAGCTCAGTCCGGCCTCAAGGACCACGGCGTGGCTGCAAGCGTGGAGCACGCTGAGGAAGACGATGTTGTCAGCTTGGACGCCCTCGAGATGCATTCTCCACGAGAGATCGATCGCGTGGACGTTGCCGTGCTGAGCAAAGGCCGCTATGAGAGCCGTCCAGGCCACCAAGTTCCAGTGGTTCATCTTCTCAAAGACTCTCAGCGCGTCCTCGAGCTGGCCGTATCGTCCATACATGTTGATGAGAGCAGTCGCGAGCACCATCTTCTTCTCCAGTCCCTTGGCCTCGAGGCGCCTGTGGAGAGCTCGTCCCTCGGTGAGAGTGTCGCCGGCTATGGAGCACGCGTCCAGGAGGCTCGTGAAAGTGTACTCGTCCGGCTCCAGTCCCTCGAGATCCATCTTCTTGTACAGCGAGAGTGCCTGCCTGCCGTCTCCATTCAAGCTGTAAGCCGCGATCATCGTGCTCCAGGTGATCAAGTTCCGGCAGTCACCGCAGCGCTCAAACACTCTCCTCGCTTCGTCCAGGCCACCGCACTTCCCATACATGTTGAGCAGCGAGTTCCTCACGATCGAGGAGTCGAGACCGGCGTCGAGAATGAGCTCATGGAGTTTCTTCCCGGCAGCGAGCAAGTTTAAGTTGGAGCAGGCCTCGAGGGCTGTGACGAGAGTGACCTCGTCGGGAGTATGCCCCTCCAAGTCCATCATCTCAGAGCCTGTTCCTCCAGTCCTTGCTGCGAGCACACTGTGATCATTGCGTTCCAGACCACCAGATCTCTGCGCTCCATCTTCTCAAAAACTCTTGACGCCAGCTCCGGCCTCCCGCACTTCCCATACATGTCGATCAGCGCGGTCCCGACGCTCAAGTAGCTACTGCCAAACTCGGAGCTCTCCACGAGCTCGTGGATGGCCGTGCCATGCTTGACATCTCAGGCGGCGGCACAGGCACCGAGTATACTCACGAAAGTCACTTCGTTCGGCCTCACCCCCTCTGCCACCATCTTCCGGAAGAAATCCAGTGCGAGGTCCTCACAGCCGTGGAGAGCAAAGCCAGAGATCATTGCCGTCCACGAGACAACACTCTGGTCGCCAGCCATGTCCTGGAAGAACTTCCTCGCGTTGTCGATGCTCCCGGCCTTGCAGTACATGTTGAGCAGCGAGTTCCAGACCACGGGATGGAGGTGGAATCCCATGGAAGTGATTCGAGCTTCGAGAGCTCTTCCATGATCTAGGGAGCCCAGGCTCGAGCAAGCGCTGACGGGATTGATGAGCACCACCATGTCGAGCCTGACGCCTTCATGATCCATCCAGTGGTAGAGCTCGAGAGCTCTCCTGGCGAGGCCGTTGTCGACGCAGGCACCGATGATGATGCTCCAGGAGAAAATGTTTGGAGACTCTATCTTCTCGAAGACGGCCCTGGCCTCTTCCATGGCGCCGCATTTGCCATACATTTGGATGAGATGGTTGCCCAGGAAGAGATCCTTGCCCAGGCCGGTGTCGACGATCTCGGCGTGGATTCTCCGGCCCTCGGGCAGTGATCTGGAGCGGCCGCATTGCTGGAGGAGTGATGCGAATGCCACGACTCGCGACGGCGGGAATTTCGACGAATTTCTTGCTGCCGGAGCTCCTGAGTTGCTACTTACAGCCGCAGGAGGAGGAAGAAGCACCAGATTGCAGCATTGTCCGTCACGCAATGGGGAGCTCCCGAATCGCCGCTGGCGACAGGGATTGAAAATTATCCATCCCTAAGCCCTAAGGTAAGGGGAATATATATCTTTTATGAAAGTTTTGTATGTTTAAAGTAGTGATTATACAATACACTAGCACTTGCCCAGCATATGCTGTTCTATTAGCAAATTATAGTTTTGAATGTTAAGTCTAATTAATAAATAAAATGGCTTTGAAAAGCTTGTATTTACATATCAAGAATTTCTTTCAATGCTATAAACAATATATGGAGCATTTAGTATAAAACCTCCTTATAGACTGTGTTGATAGAAGGACTTAAAGGGAATAACTGTCCTTAGAGTGATGTGTTTTGTACTTTAATACTTAATCTTGTTGGTGATGTGCATCTTGATAAAGCCACATAAAGTTGGCTGTGGGTGAAAACTGAATGTGGCAAGTGTATTCCAACTTGGTCAAATGTCTAGCCTTGACACTTAGAGATTGTAGGGCAATACCCCAAATGTATTGGAAATTGTCTTCTGGACATTTTAAATGGAATTTCTGTGTCTAAAGGTGTGAGTGTGATTCAAGGGATGAAAGTCCATGTACCTTTGAATTGGCTTAATACAATTTCACAGTCTAGAACTGTTGGTAAAGCATGTTTAAGGATGAGGTGTGTACCATTACATAGTCCAATTGATGGACATATATTCCTTAATAGAATAAAGATAACGCTTTCTTTAAGTAAGAGTTTATGTGGTGGAAGACCAAAAGGAGTAATGGAATTTAGGAATTCAATTAGAAAATCTTCTGGGTGTTCAGTATCAACAAAGTCAATACTTTCATAAATATGTATGTCACCAGGTAAGGAAGAGACTATAACATAGGAAAAGTATCATCATTAAGTGGGGTAAGTATGACTCTATTAGCTGCAATATAGGGGTTTGAAATATCTTGTAGAGATGGAAAAACAAAATCAACAAGAGAGGACATTATTACTTGTGTGTAAGGCAATATAATAGATTCTAAAGGTAAATTTGGTAAATTCACGTAATTATTACCATTTCCAATTTGAAGAAGTCAATTAGCCCATAAAGAGTTGTTTTCAAGTAGTCTTATATTCTTTTTTAGTGGAAGTGTTCTAAAAAATTTCCATAACCTATTCATTTTTATTGAATTTGAAACGATTTGTGCTCGATGACCATGTGGAATAACTGGTAGTGTTTGTCTAAAGTCACCACTTGTAATAATAATAATGCCTCCAAAAGGTAATATTTTTTTTTTTTATATCTTGTAAAGCTAAGTTAATGGCAGAAAATGCATGTGTGTGAACCATGCTAATTTCATCCCATATTAACACATGTGCATTCTTAATTTTTTGACTTGCTTCACTATTAGCTATAATAGCAAAACTAGAAGTTTCATTTATTGGAACAAGAAATTTAAAAGTCATATGTGATGTTTGGCCATTATGTAGTAAAGTGCTTGCAATACCTGTTCAAGCCATATTAATTTGGATTAGGTAATCCAGCCATGATATATTGATTAATTGCATCACGGTCTCTAATTTTATTTTCATGGGCTAGAATTCCTAGAAAATGACAATGTGGGAGACCTCATTTTTGGAACTTAATTACATATATATATGCTATACATTTTCCAAATATATGTCTTTTTGTTATATCTTTCAAAAAATTTTTAAACTTAATATGGAAAACTCTAGAAACCAAATTAGGACGGTCTTCAGAGCCTTCATTTGGATGTAGATTTCCTATAATTTCTGGCCATTTAGGGTTGCAAGTGAAAGTAATGAAAATATCTAGTTTTGAGTAATGAGCAACAATTGCCATTGCATCTTGATAATTTTGTTGCATTGCTCTAAGGCCACCACCAAAACTTGAAGGTAGTATAACAATTTTACCAGGGTTCATATTTCATTAGAAGCACGATTTGCAACATAATCCATAAGACCAGTATACATTTCTACTCATAATTGTTTTTGGTGGGTACGATAGTAATATAGGCTATTACTCTCAACTTTGACATAAGCATTAACAATATATTGTTGAGTAAGCTTGCCAGCATGTAAGATTTGGTCAAAACCTAATTGTAGTGTGTCTCTTTTAGATAAACGGTATGCATAATATAGAAGTAATGTAATTCGACGTCTTTGTGTATTCAAAATATTAGTATGCCATCCTTTATCACCAAAAGGAAATATCAAAGGATAAACCATAGGATCACAATTAATATTAAGTGTTGAAATCGTTCTAGAAAGATTTGCCGTAGGATGTATACAAATTTCACATCTATGTGGGGGTTCTCCATTCTCGCTAACAAAAACAACAGCAACTTCATTTTTTTGTGGTATATTATAATGTCGAGGATTGGTTTCTTCATTCCTTAGTAACATATAAATGCCACATAAAGGTCGGACTGTAACTAGTACTTCATGAAGTTCTTTTTGTTCCATTTCATACATCATTCTATAAGCCTGTGCATATGGATTAATATGACGAAGGAGTGTATCAAGATGTAATAATAAATCTCACTCGCAACTTGTATTAAATGGGTTTTGATGCCTTATGTCTGTGGCTTCTTGTGTATCTAGCATATAAAGTTGGCCATAAGATGGACTTTGATTGCTAGAAGAATGTGATGACATGACACTATGGTAAATCTGTCCATGAATTCTAAAGCAATAAGGACCATTACCCCTTAAAGCATCAATGTTAGCACCCATTGATGCAAATGCAAGAGCACTATTATAATGTTTAATATTAGTTTGGAAATTAGAGTTTTTGTTTTGCTTATAAAGCGTAAGTAAAGTATTTGGCAAAGGTAATACAGGTGGCAATATCACTTGACCATGATGACAACACATAGCAATGTTCTCATCTTTAAAATGTGATGCATTACAAAAAAAACAAATAGATGATAAAAAACCAATTTCAAAAGTTGAAATTTGTGAATCTTTGTAAATAGTGTGACTTGCTAGTGTGGTTTGTGAAGGTGGAGATGGTCTAGTGGATATTGCTTGATGTGTATATATTTCATTTTGATCTGAAGTAATTTGAAGTGGTTCAGAGTGTTTATCAAAATTATTTGTATCAAAATTCTTATCAAAATGATTGGTATTTCTTATAGTTCTAAGAAGATGATGAAGGCGAGGCATAGTTTAAAATTTCTTAGTACAAAGCTAGAGAACTATAGCTTATGCAGGTTTGTGTTTGTAAACAAACTCAAATTTGCAAAAGAAATATGAAATAGTATTTATTATGTGGTGGAGGCTAGGGATATAAACAAACACGAACCTACTGTGTGCTTGGTTCTATGTGCCTGTCTAAGATTTTCCAATTGCTTGCCAAAGAAGGGTGTGTTATGAACTAAGAAGAAAGATTGACCTTTTGCTGCAAGCTGTTATGATTCTTGGTGGTGCCCTCAAGTGCAAAACTTAATTGTGAGATTTAGGGTTATCGTGAGATTTAGCAAAAAAAGTCTGACGGATTAGATCTAGCGCTTTTGGGCGAGCGGGATTTCTAGGGCATTGCGAGGTGTCGAGGTTTGTCACCGCCCTAGCTACAGCGGTGTCAGACTTGTCACCATAGCTCAAGAATCTGGAGTTTGAGGCCGCGGCTCGAATCGCTGTGCACATCAAGGAGAGTGGACACGCTGTTGCTGGAAAAGACCAATGGCTTCTAGCGTGGTAAGAAAAAGTTCCATGTAACTGATTTGGGTCAAGCTTGATACTAAACTGCACCCCCAGGCCCTCGCCACCGCTGTCGCCCAAGAGTGGGATTTCGCTGCCAGCCTTGTATGTGTGGAGAATCCACAAGGAGCTGCAAGTGAAGCCAATCCTGCTGGCTCTCAGCTTCGGTCATGGCATCCATAGCAAGTGTAGCTCTTGCTCCGCACATGTCAAGACCAAGTGCTAGGTACTGCAAGAAAACAGGTAAATCGCTACAGCAATGTAGTTGTACACCAGGTACTCTTCTCCAACTTCCTTATGCTTTAGTTTGATGTCGTAAGTGTAGGCATGCGTTTCAGCTACATTTGGGAATGATGTTTCATTTGCTACATTGTAAAAACCTTTCTAAAAAACATGAGAGTTTGGTGGGATTTCCAGTATTATGAGACTTCTTTGCGTTGTAGGTTTTGGATGAAGATTCTGAAGAAAACTATACCCAGGCCACTTCCCTTCACTAAAGGATTTGTTAAATCACTCGGGTAAACTTTTCTTTGTTGCTGTCAATTTGAATTCCGATGCTAATGCTTATAAAATATAGGACTGACGAAACCAGCACTATGGAGTTTTTTTTCAAATTGAAGAATGGTGAAGATTATAGAAAGGAAGCATTTGGAAGCAACCGGTATCCATGTCTCCTCATGAATGGTCTCATTTGTAGAGAAAGTCAGGTATATTGTTATTTATCAGATCTTAGGGACATTCCTAATGTGTCACTTGAACGTAGCCACAATTTTCAGTGATGGCAGCTCTTGAGCTTTATAAATAACTTGTGCTGCATGCAGATAGTTTTTTCTCGATTGAGCAAGTGGATTTTTTCTTGGAATGCAGTGCAGGCACTCTGGTGGCTGGATTTGGAGTCACTGGTGCATTGACGACTGAGAGTCCCAAGCGAGGAGATCACAGGTGACTTTGTTTTTGTGTTCGCCATGGAAGATTTTTATTTTTATTTTTTCTTTCCAGATGCCACATATCTGCTCGAACGCATTCATCTCTTTGGAGATATGACGTCACTCTTTAGAAGGTTTTGTGTATTTACAGCAATGAATTTAATCGATTGTTTTTCTCATCTCCAGGGATATAGAGATTGTTTTGGAGAGGATTGTCTATCCAGTCAGCTCCTAATCAAGGTTATGATTTTTATGACCAGGCTTTTCAGTTCGCCCAAACTTTTGATTTATGTCCAGGCTATGGCTGACGTTTGTGAGATTGGAAATACGGTACCGGGAGAATTGAAGAGCCCTGAGGAAGAAATTCGAGAGTCAAGGCTGAATTACACAGAGGACGAAGAGCTCGAGCAGCTAATACATGGAAATGTCTGCATGGTCCATTATCTCGGTGAAGGTACTTCGAAATTTGCTCAGTGGTTATTTTTTTCATAAGTTGTGATACAGGTAGCAAAGACTGTAGAACCGGCAGAAGGGTCGTTCTTTCCGGTGATTTTAATCCATTGCATGAAGGTCATCTTACACTGATGAGCACGGCATGCACGTAAGTTTCCTGAAAAAAAAATGCTTTTGTTGATCTAACACAAGTTACAGCCTTGTGCAAGGTGGCAGTCCAGGAAGCTCTGGATGTGGCGGACAATGCCTTTCAAGCCCAGCTTCGTGACATGGATGACGTTGCTGGCTTGCTGCAAGAAGTGGGGCTATGCAGCAATTGGGAAGCTCGCATTCCAGAGAGTCTTGCAAGAGACTTTGAGGTTGTAATAATACAATGGATCCCATAAACAATTATGCAGCAAGCTTATAGACAATACATTGTACAAACAAAAAATAAAAGCACACGGGAACAGGAAATGAAAGCACACTAGAACAGGAAATAAAAGTGCACAGTACTCTAATCAGCCTTGAACGCAATAACTTTTGGTGAGCTTTGATCGGCACCAGTGAATACATTTTTATCTTTAGTTCCTCAAAGATTGTAGAAAATATGACTTGGCATGTCCTCAGCAAACCATGATGATTTGAGCTCATGATAGACATGGTCCATATCACCCAGCACATGCACCTATGTTTGAAGTTCACCAAAAAATCCAGTCAGAATATTACAAATACCTTATAGGTGTTTTCAGCTTCAGGATCATCAGCAATGAATATGATGTTTGTAGTGTTAGGCATTTGATCTACACTAGTGATTGCCGCAGAAACTGTTGAAGAAGTATAAGCAGAAGCATCCATTGCAAACTGACACAGTGGAATAATGTCTGATAGTCTGACAAAATCAAGCACTAGAAGAGCCTTCTCTGGCCATGCTCAAACATGTGTGGCCATAGAAATATCTACTGAGAGACGATGGAGCCCCAAATGATATTTTGGATTCTTAGCTCTGACATTGTAGTGTTGAATACACAGCCAGTTAGATGGCTTGAAAAGGTGGCTATATTTATCAGCAGCGTTAGCTGCCATTGAAGCTGTTGCAAGGTGCATGCCGTAGCTGTCAGTGAAATTGATATTAAGGAACCTTGATGTTGATGCCATACTTGTTGAGTGGATCTCATATTAGAAATCATAACTGCTGTACCAAGATAATACATATATAAGAAGCGGCTCACCACCTGAATGGAGCTATAGATCCGCAATATGAACACATGTATCCTTAGAAGAAGCAATCAGATTCCATACGCCAGGGTCTAGAATGCTATATAATTTGTGCTTAGCTAAAAAATCCCATTACAAACTAACTTTACAACGGGAACTAACAATCGTTAGTTACGAACAAATCCCGTTACAAACTAACTAAATTTTTTTTTCTAAAATTGAGTAGTACCTCCTATAATCCCATGGGGCACTTGGCTGGAAGTCTGTGTCTGAGCACCTGGATCTGGCAACAGAGAAGGTTTATGAAGCAAAAAAAGCCAAGTGCCAATACCTACTAAAATAGCAAAGGGACTTTGGAAATGTAATGGCTGTAACGACTGTTTGAAGTCTTCTTGTACACCTATTCATCAAGCTATAAAGCACTATATTGGAATAAACTAAGTACCTGAAACACTAAGCTGTGTAAGGTGCTCAAATCCTGGAAAGAAAAGTGATTAGATTCTAATTTATCAAGAAAAACACAAACCTGGTTCACTGCTCTCTCCACCCATCTCTACATCACCTAAAACTTGTTGTTACTGTGAAGAAACATCATCTAGCGATGGCTAGTAATTGTAATCTACATGGTCTTGAGACCCCACATTAGAATCACTAGCTGCCGCTGCCATCGGAGAGGGCAATCCTGAATGAAGCAATTGACAAACTTTGGGTTAATCACAACCGTTGGCCCAAAGGCCTGCTTAATTTTTGCCACGTCATTGGGCATATGCAAAACTCACAATAACTATTTCGCTCGATGAAGGTGTCCAAAGTGTATTCCAGCTTCTTATCTTCAGTGGGAGCATCAGCAGATGATGACGATGAGAGGCAGATGATCATCGTGGATGGCTGGCTGGAGTTTGAGGCTGCGGCTCGAATCGCTATGCACATCAAGGAGAGTGGACGTGCTGCTGCTAGAAAAGACCGATGGCTTCTAGCGTGGTAAGAAAAAGTTCCATGTAACTAATTCGGGTCAGACTTGATACTAAACTGCACTCCTAGGAATTCTTTGATGGTCGGGAAGAGAGCTTCCCGACCTTGACTTTGGAAACATCTTCTGGGCACAGAGCACAGAGGATGAACAGCAACCCTTGTATGGCAAACAGGAAAGTTTGTGAGATCGACTTCTTTCCTTTCCAGTTTCACAGATAGATACCTGGTGAGTTGAATCTACAACTCCTCCCAGCTTTATCTCCTATTGCAAGGACATGGCTGCTTGCGTCCCCAGGTCCTCTGGAAGCTCGAGCTCGGATGCTCCTGAATGCGTAGCCATGCACTCGGAGCTTAAAATGCAACCGGTGGTTGTTTCTGCCACCAGTGAGATCCTATAGCCCGGAGATCTGTGCCATGACAAAGGAAGCAAGATGAAAAAAGTTTACCTTGCAACACAAAATCATGGAACTTACTTCCCGGACTCCGAACCAGTGTAGTGATCGGTAAAGATGTACACGTCGGGGAGCAAGCGATTTAGCACGCCATGAGCGGCATCAACCATTTGATTGGCCATATGAGGTGAGACACGTGTGGAGTAACTCACTCCTCGGATATGTTTCACCATGCCCTCGTCCACCCATGTAGCAGCTTGGCGAAGGATTCTTAGCGAGGAGAGAAAGAAAAAAAAGAGGAGTTTGGAGAAATTGATCATGAGGCTCTTGGAGACAATGGGAACTTTGAGGATGGCCTCACCACCACCCAAGGAAGGAGCTCCACAGGCAACAACCTTGAGTTCTAGGCCTTCAATTGGAACACCAAAGTGCTTTTCTTATGTACAGGGGGATGCTCTTGGAAGAATTTCCATGCCCAGTACAGCAACACTGCCAATGCCAAAGCACTTTGGTGGAGACCATAAAGGAAACCAACAGTACTAATTTTCTGCCGTTATGGTAGTAAAGAGAGAGTATCTGTAAAGACTGGCCGACAAGTATCATTCAATACATAAAGTCATATTTGCGATATAAATGTACTTGTGTTGTCATAACTATTGTAAGTAATGTTACTTCCAATAAACACACACATATGATTAACTTTTCTTTCATAATAGGTATCAAAGATTTATCTACTTCTTGAGTAGTTAAAAATCTAATTAAAATTCAAAAAATTAAATCAATTAATACCATAAAACTTCTCTAAGAAAATATATTACTTTCTGTAATTGAGGTGTTGTGTTTCCCATTATAAAAATGGGATAAACATCCTACTAAATATATTAATTTACATTTTAGTAAATTTAGAAACATACTCATAGTAAATGAAGCGAATTGTTTTCATACCTATTAAATTACCTTTCTCATCTATACAATTTCAAAATTCAGTTCCATATATTGTAAACACTTTAAAAGCCTCTATATTATCTATAAATAATTTATTTTGATGATTTGTTAATGTCCAAGTTCTATGCTCAATTTTTCCATCACGTCGCAGCCATATATTTTACTTCATTCTGCACACAACTAAGTCTTTTTTAGTACTTAATTCATCATTTTTACCAGTAATAGTTTTATATATAATTTCAAAAGAATTCTTAAATATATACGTGCAATCCTTTAAAATTGCTATTGGCAACTTA